GGGCTCTCCAACGAATAAGATTAGAAAATCGTACAACTTCAAAGACGTTGTACGATTATAATAAGAAGAAGCGATTATAATTAGTATAATTACGATTATAGAACGATTATAATAAGAATAATAAAAAAAGCACCGCTAAACCAGTCATCCGGATAACTTAGACCAAACGTACAGTGTATGCAGGTATAAGCACCGTGCAGCTGAAGGCCGGATGAAGAAGCATAATGTGAATGATAACTACCCCCGTGTTATCCGGGGTAAGATAACAGTAGGAAGCGTCGAGGGGGGTGGGGAGGGGAGGCTTCCGAACAGCAGAAGGTCGAGACGTAAGGCTTATAACAGTCTGTAGAGCATTTCCTCTCAACGGCAGCTGTCAAGGTACTCCAAGGTACGGGGGGGGGGGGAGAGGGAGTGGGGGGGGGGAAGAATTCAAGTTCAAGGTGAAACTACTCCTCCCTCTCTCTCAGCGTCACCCCTTCGGCCCTACTCACTCTTACGTAATGCATTCCCCGACCCCCCCCCCCCCCCTCTCTCTCTCTCTCTCTCCCTCTCTCCCTTCCTCTCACACAACCCCACGGCCCCCCCCTACACGTCACCCCCTGGTGAGCGACCTTCAAATCCTTCCTATCGTCACAACCCCCCCTCTCTCTCTCTCACTATTTCTGCCCCGGGCATCTCTCCCTCTCTCACACACACACAATACATGAGGAAGCTGGACACCTTCCAGGTCCTATACCTGTGTGCGACAGGTGGAGTGAGCTAGATGCTGGAGTCCTGGACAATAACTCTTAACACAATTTTAAATATATTATAAGGTCACTTTTGCTTCTATCTGTCCATTCCCCGCTTCTTGGCCTCATATCCCAGCTCCTTGTCCTCATATCCCAGCTCCTTGGCCTCATATCCCAGCTCCTTGGCCTCATATCCCAGCTCCTTGTCCTCGTATCCCAGGTCCTTGGTCTCATATCCCAGCTCCTTGGCCTCATATCCCAGCTCCTTGGCCTCATATCCCAGGTCCTTGGCGTCATATCCCAGCTCCTTGTCCTCGTATCCCAGCTCCTTGGTCTCATATCCCAGCTCCTTGGCCTCATATCCCAGCTCTTTGGCCTCATATCCCAGTTCCTTGGCCTCATATCCCAGCTCCTTGGCCTCATATCACAACACCCATCAACGGCCTTAATCCCACACATCGACCTTCAACCCTCCAGTCAGTATTCAGTGACCGGCTGGCCACGCCCACCTCCTCGGAACACGCCCACAGCCTCCGTGCTCAACCTTCCCTGCCGGAGGACAGTCACCAACTGAGCAATAATTTCCTGCTTAGTGGCCCCGCCCGGGAGGTGGGCGGGGCCTGTGTCGTCACGGCCGTGTGCAGCCAATCAGGTGTCAGCAAGGTTCGCAGGGTTATCCTTCAAGTGCCTGAGCCAATGGTGTTTACCAGGTGATGGACGGTCACTTTTTCCTTTATTAATCTCTATCGTGGCTCGTGTATGCGTTTGTTATACGCTGGAATATATTATTAAGTTCATCGTAAACGAGGTTGAATGAAAGAAGCGTCTACAAGGGCGGGAACAAGGATGGTGTCTCTATAGCGGGGTTAGTGCGGCGGCGCGGGCCATGGAGTGACGTCACAGGACCACGTGACGTCACAGGACCACGTGACGTCACAGGACCACCACGTGCTGCACCAAGGCACCACCACAGTATATAAGGCTCCAGCAGGGGCCCTGTTGGTGTTATTCAGTATCGTAGAATCGCAGTGGAAGGTAGTGGAGCGTGCCAGCACCTCGTGAGACAGTCGCCCTCAGCCCCGACCCCCCGTGACCTAAGACCACACTATTCGCCTCCGTCAGTCCTATACACCGGGACACACTTGAGAGAGAGAGTACTGCTGGGTGTAGATCGCCGGACTCAGGGGCCTGACCTGTCAAGATGGAGCACAGTCTCAGACTGACCTATGCTGCTGCGGTTGCTATGGTGCTCCTTCTCACTACTGATGCCCAGGGTGAGTCCAGCCTCCCTTCTCCCTCTAACGTTCACATCTTGAGGTTATCTTGAGATGATTTCCCGGGCCTTAGCGTCCCCGCGGTCCGGTCCTCGACCAGGGCTGCCTTGGTCGAGTACGACCCGGGTGGATTACAGGGAAACAGGATTCTGGAGTTATGAAACAAATTACTGGGGATATATTATAGCCATGAGACCGTTGGATTGTTTCAAGCGTAGGTTAGACATATATAGTGAGTGAGTTTAGTAGATGTATGTATATATATATATATATATATATAATAGCTGCCTCATATAGGCCTACTGCAGTTTCCTTTAACCCTTATTTTTTTATGACTACCTCGTAGGGGGCCTCGTAGCCTGGTGGATAGCGCGCAGGACTCGTAATTCTGTGGCGCGGGTTCGATTCCCGCACGAGGCAGAAACAAATGGGCAAAGTTTCTTTCACCCTAAATGCCCCTGTTACCTAGCAGTAAATAGGTACCTGGGAGTTAGTCAGCTGTCACGGGCTGCTTCCTGGGGGTGGAGGCCTGGTCGAGGACCGGGCCGCGGGGACACTAAAAAAAAGCCCCGAAATCATCTCAAGATAACCTCAAGATAACCTTTACTTAAGGGACACCATCTCCAGTGGCTTCCATACATACAATTGCTTCTCTTCTAACTTTTGAATCAAAACAACTTTCTAATTCTAACGTATATTCTCAGCTCTTGTCACCAGTGAACCAATTACTTGCTGCTGTGCTTGTTGATTCGTTCGAATTATTTCAAAGTTTATTTATTCATTTAAGGATATAAACACAATTGTGGTGTTGTGGTGGGCGTCAGCTGGAGAAGGTCTTCATACAAGACCCAAGTTAAACTCACAGTGAAACACTACAATTATTTTAAAACTGTGTTAAACCCTAATTTTGGTTCCCATAAATTACTCGGTCAGCACCCTAGAGCCTAGCAGGGCAAGCCACCTTCTGGGCCCGGCAGGGCAAGCCACCTTCTGGGCCCGGCAGGGCAAGCCACCTTCTGGGCCCGGCAGGGCAAGCCACCTTCTGGGCCCGGCAGGGCAAGCCACCTTCTGGGTCTGACAGGGCAAGCCACCTTCTGGGCCCGGCAGGGCAAGCCACCTTCTGGGTCTGGCAGGGCAAGCCACTTTCTGGGTCTGGCAGGGCAAGCCACCTTCTGGGCCCGGCAGGGCAAGCCACTTTCTGGGTCTGGCAGGGCAAGCCACCTACTGGGCAAGGATTTGGGATGAGACAGAGGGAAAGAACGGTACCGAATAACGGTCGGGGCTTCAACGCCGACCTGCTTGAAGCTAGACCGTCTGCTTGATACCTGTTTGATGGGGTTCTGGGAGTTCTTCTACTCCCCCAAGCCCGGCCCGTGGCCAAGCTTGGCTTGTGCCGTCGCTCTACCTAGCTACCTACCTCTACCAGGTCGCTCAAACTGGCTACCTACCTCTACCAGGTCGCTCTACCTGGCTACCTACCTCTACCAGGTCGCTCTACCTGGTCAGGCTGGACTTGTCGAGGCGTCGCTCCAGCGTCCGGGCCAAATGGGCTGAACTAATTAAGTCGGCCCCATTCTCAAGGTAAATGGGGGTAACTATTATATTCTTCAGCATTTCGCCCTAGTAAGCTCCTCTCATCGGAGACCATCCGCACACCATAGATGGATGGATGGATAAAGGGACAGATGGATGGATGGATAAATATATACTTGAACAAATAGCTAGATGGACAAATAGATAAATGGACAAATAGATAGATGGACAATAGATGGATGGCAGCTGCTCCCCTGTGAAGCATGCTGGGGGTGCAGCTGCCCCCCTGTGAAGCATGCTGGGGTGCAGCTGCTCCCCCTGTAAGGCGGGGACAAGGTTGGGTCCAGTAAGGCAGTAGATGGAGAAATACTTGACTGATAACCTTGAGAGATCAACGTCCAGAGCGTGGCGTTGAGCCAGCGAGAATGGGTGTTTGCCTCGAGGGGACACCCACTCACACGTGTACAGGATATATTAGCCCTCAGTGTACACCAGGGCCCCCTCAGTGTACACCAGGGCCCTCAGTGTACACCAGGGCCCCTCAGTGTACACCAGGGCCCCCTTAGTGTACACCAGGGCCCTCAGTGTACACCAGGACCATCAGTGTACACCAGGACCATCAGTGTACACCAGGGTCATCAGTGTACACCAGGGCCTCAGTGTACACCAGGGCCCCTCAGTGTACACCAGGACCCCTCAGTGTACACCAGGGCCCTCAGTGTACACCTGGGCCCTCAGTGTACACCAGGGCCCTCAGTGTACACCAGGGCCCTCAGTGTACACCAGGACCCCTCAGTGTACACCAGGGCCCCTCAGTGTACGCCAGGGCCCTCAGTGTACACCAGGGCCCCTCAGTGTACACCAGGGCCCCTCAGTATACACCAGGACCATCAGTGTACACCAGGGTCATCAGTGTACACCAGGGCCTCAGTGTACACCAGGGCCCTCAGTGTACACCAGAGCCATCAGTGTACACCAGGGCCCCTCAGTGTACACCAGGGCCATCAGTGTACACCAGGGCCCTTAGTGTACACCAGGGCCCCTCAGTGTACACCAGGGCCATCAGTGTACACCAGGGCCCCTCAGTGTACACCAGGGCCCCTCAGTGTACACCAGGGCCATCAGTGTACACCAGGGCTCTCAGTGTACACCAGGGCCATCAGTGTACACCAGGGCCCTCAGTGTACACCAGGGCCCTCAGTGTACACCAGGGCCCTCAGTGTACACCAGGGCCATCAGTGTACACCAGGGCCCTCAGTGTACACCAGGGCCATCAGTGTACACCAGGGCCCCTCAGTGTACACCAGGGCCCCTCAGTGTACACCAGGGCCCCTCAGTGTACACCAGGGCCATCAGTGTACACCAGGGTCATCAGTGTACACCAGGGCCTCAGTGTACACCAGGGCCATCAGTGTACACCAGGGCCATCAGTGTACACCAGGGCCTCAGTGTACACCAGGGCCATCAGTGTACACCAGGGCCTCAGTGTACACCCTTTTGTTGAGACATGAAGAACATTAAGCGTGGGAGTTGTGTGACCCGTTGGTAAGAATTTTTTTCTTCATTTATCTCATGTGATTTTCAATGCCACTGAGTATATATAGCACCTTCAAACACTGCGTGACAGGCAGTATACTGGTATGTTGCAGACGATGAGTCACAATAACGTGGCTGAAGTATGTTGACCAGACCACACACTAGAAGTTTGAAGGGACGACGACGTTTCGGTCCGTCCTGGACACAATCGACTTGAGAATGGTCCAGGACGGACCGAAACGCCGTCGTCCCTTCAAACGTCTAGTGTGTGGTCTGGTCAACATACTGGTATGTAGTTCTCACGTGTCGTACACGTCAGGCGAGGCAAGCAGTTGTACTATACGAAGGAATGAACAGATGACATAAGGTAATCACTCACTGACTCTTCGTACCCAATGCATAATCTTTTCTGAAACAGAAGGAAACATTTGATCGTGTTTCAAATCAACAAAGTTAGACACAACAAAGTGTTGATTGTGGTGTTTAGAGTGCGATCACATATCATCTATTTAATTCTTGGAACTAATAGATTTACGTCTAGTTAAGCAAAGAAATTGGTATGGGTAAGGAGTTTTTTTTTTTTTTTACAATATGAGGAGCAATGCGAGGAATCGAACCCGGGATCAGGAGTTTGACAATCGTTCCCCGTAACGCTATACCGAGCGCACAAGGTCCGGGCTTCGAATCCCACCGATTTGCTTATTGAGATCCGAGTTGCTTCTTTTCCTTGCATACATCAATTGGTTTATTAAGCCCCAGAGTCGTATATATCACAACGTATCTTCGACTCCCACCTCTCTAAGTGCTTCATCACCGTGCAGCAAATACATATAATTACCGTCAAAATACCAGACCTAAACTATCCCAGGTCTAACTATACACAGAATATTAATCACCACTATTCATTATATGCGAAAAATATTGCGTTTGGTGACACGATGCGTGAGAGGCACGGATGTGTGTTTAGGGTGATGTCGGTCGCAGCTTGGCCCGGGCCGAGCCGCGACACGGGCCGAGCCGTGACACGGGCCGAGCCGCGACACGGGCCGAGCCGCGACACGGGCCGAGCCGTGACATAGGCGTCACAGAGACGTGGACAGATTGGTATTCTCTCGGTACTGAAATATGCAGCTTCCGGCGTTTTAATTCACTGCTTCACTTGCCACGGTCACCCCCTTCCGTGAGGCACGCACTCCCTCTCTCTCTCCCTCACACCTGCTCTCCTACACTCTCTCCCTCACACCTGCTCTCCTACACTCACTCTCTCCCTCACACCTGCTCTCCTTCACTCACTCTCCTCCCCACAGGGCTCTGTACTTGGACCCATTCTGTTTCTAATATATGTAAACGATCTTCCAGAGGGTATAGACTCATTCCTCTCAATGTTTACTGGCGATGCAAAAAATATGAGAAAAATCAAGACAGATGAAGATAGACAGAGACTACGGGACGACCTGGACAAACTGGTGGAATGGTCTAGAAAATGGCTGCTAAGGTTCAACTCAGGAAAATGTAAGGTAATGAAATTAGGCGAAGGGGGCACAAGGCTGAACACAAGGTACCATCTTGGAGGTGAAATCCTGCAAGAGTCAAATAGAGAGAAAGATCTGGGGGTTGATATCACACCGAACCTGTCCCCAGAGGCCCACATCAAAAGGATATCGTCAGCGGCATGTGCTAGACTGGCCAACATAGGAACTGCCTTTAGAAACTTGTGTAAGGAATCGTTCAAGACCCTGTATACCACTTATGTCAGACCTATCCTGGATTATGCAGCTCCAGCTTGGAGTCCATACCTAGTTAAACACAAGACAAAGTTAGAGAAGATTCAGCGGTATGCCACCAGACTCGTCCCGGAACTGAGAGGTATGAGCAACGAGGAGCTAAAGGAGCTGAACCTCACGTCCCTGGAAAATAAAAGAGTAAGGGGA